GTGCGCAAGGATTTTTACATTGGACAAAATGAACGATGATATTTTACAGTGAGAAAACGTATATCTAACAAGTCAGGGTGAGAATAACAAAAGCAAGGAACATCTGTGTGGTCAATTTAAAGCTAACAGAGAAGGCAGGTAGGCGATAATATACAAGTGATAAAGAGGTGTGGGCCTGAAATCGGTTCATGCAAGAAGAGGATTGGAAATGTACACACAATATCAGCGTGCAAAATTGTGCTGGCAGTGGTCATAAGGTTTTCGTGAGCAAAATAAAAGCACTCACTCCTGTGCTCACGTCCCCATGTATTTCACTCTACGGCCACGTGGGTTATGCCTCTTGGTTAGGGGCTCAGGCCCTTGACGTCCTGAGATATTTTCTTACTTCACACTAGACTGCCACGTAGCGTATGACTTGCTGACAAACCGTTGAATCGAATTGCACACTGTCTTTCTGATACAGGCTTAATATCCTACTACAACTATTATGATTACCTTTGTAACATAGACCCATCAGGAAACCGTTTCTACTTTTTTTCGACAAAACTGCCTTGTTTTCTGGTCACCATGATTTTGATGGCACATTTATCTTTCTGAGCCGCGGTGAGTAAGCATATATTCCGGAGTATCACAGCTTACATGACTGAGAGTTGAGAGCTGATGTCAATATTCAATGATGGAATGTTTCTGCGTTGCTGTCGCCTGCTGTACGCTGTCCACTGCACTCCACAACGCGTTTCGTCCTGATTTCTACTCATCAGTTAGGTATACTCTGATCCGCGAGTGGAACTCCGCGGATAGGGGTTGGTGACTATTGCTATGATCACTGTGTCATTGTGCTCCAACAAGAGCGCTTCACAGAGCAGCTAAAAGTTCATATCATGCTTTGGAGCACGCACCGTGTATTTTGGATTGCAACAAAGAATCTCAATCGTAGCTTCGGTTGACCTCAAATCTAGCACTTCTCAATTCAAACGTACTGCGGGGTCTCCAAGACGGAAAAATTAACTTCTAATCGCTGCACTAAGCGCTGCTCGAAGAGCTCAGTGGCTTAGTGATCATGGCTATAGCCGCCAAACAATATAGGCCGTGTTCCACTCTCAGATCTGGCTATTTCTATCCGATAGGTTCAAACAAGGACAAAACCGTCGGTCGTGGAGTGCAGGGATGGGAGAGAGCCCCACCGAAACGCTCCACTTCGGTGACGGTCCCAGTGACCGTATTGACAGAGGCTGACTTTAAAGTCACCCGATGCCACAACTGAGATCATGTGCCGCAATCCACGGCACACAGTGTGTACTCCAAAACCAGGCTATATCGGGTGGCATTTAAAAGATAAATATAGTAATCGAGTAGGTTATATGGTTGGAAAACTTGAAGGGAATGTCATTTTGTGGACCCTGTAGAAGACTGTATTGTTCAGTCAGGTACAGGCGATTGCCTGTGAACTTCGTACAGTGTTTGAGCTCAGGAAAATGGCAGCTAAATTGAAAGAGGTCACCCAAAGTTTGATGAAGCTAGAACGTCTGTTTAGCCGTTGGTATCGTTCACTGTAAACTCCCAAGGACCATCGGTGTTTGCTGGTAAAAGTGTTTGCGTTGACTATTGACTTGTTTACTCTGCGCTTCAGCCAAGTTTGCCAAATTTAGATGGCATAGTTAAGGTAGGGACGCAAGTAAGCGCTGCGCATCCTTGGGAGTGCAGATGGATCCAATTTCGCGAATGCCCCCGAAGTACGCCTAGGTGCCTAGTAATGATCTGAAAATCTACCTCAGACGGTTTTGGGCACATTGAGCTCGCCTTACCGGTAACTGGGCTACATGTTCTATGCTTAGGCTGTTGGTGCGCCTATATCACATACGAACAACTTCAACATTTCTTCATGTTTTTAGTTAATATATTCTGACTGACCGAATAACAGATCTTCTCATGATCGTGATGTAGACCTTCATGGACCTTCGGCCCTCCGATTGCTCGACCCCCCACAGAATGTTCATGAAAATCAAGCAGAGTCAAGAAGCTGTCACCAAGTCCACTTCGCAACATGGCAACTTGTCAGTTACCACATTCCGAAGATGACTGACTATTCTGAATCGTTGAGGTCATACTGTTTGAGCGCGCTACATAGGAACTGATCCGCAGGCTGTATTCCCCAAGTCTTTAAAGGTAGACATGTCCATGACCGAATTGAACAATTACCACTTCTCTAAATTTAATGGCCGTATATCCTGAATTGATCAATTTTAAGTCGCACCTATATCGTGCTAAAGACCTTCTGGATTGTCCTGACTCCTGGTCGAGTAACATGTCCTAATGGCTTCCGCGAAAAGTTGGGAATACAAAACAATAAAACTTGTAACATTGTTTCCGAAAACGTAGGGTTGCAAGACCCTAGCACACAGTCTTTGGTATACCGCACTCGACATTATAGCAAAACCTAGGAAGTTGACCACCTCTTTATTTTGACCGCTTTTCCATATCACGGAATAGAAATGGAACTGGTATAGGTAGAAATTCGTCACATCTAGATTCACTCAGACAGCCGTCACACGCCCGGAAAAGCACTGTACGCGTGTTTCAGCCTTTCGGGAATCGTCAGTAGGGCGCATTCCATCGGACCCTTGTAGGGCTCGAACCCGCAACTCGACTGTTGCCAGTACATGGTTGAAACCACTGAGCTACGGGGGACGGTAATGACCATCGGAAATCAGTTACTGGAACTGACTGGGATTGCATGATTTCATGTTTCGGATGCAATTCGGCTTTCGTGGGTTTTTACTGTGATGGCCGTTTCGTCAATAGCGCGCACCCGCCGAATCCTGACAAATGCGAAAGAACAACCTTACTCTTACGAGTCAGCGAATTATACCCCTGAGCCATGGGTGGTTTTGACCGCTTTTTCATAGCTCGGACGTTCTGCATGTAAATCCTATGGAACCGGACCTTTGTATATTGACCATCTGTCTAAGTTGTATGCTGGCCAGTTGGGCTAAACACGTCATTGTTAGTTTAACCTCTAAAACTTGAGCATGTGATAGTTTACCATATAATGGTCGTCGAAACACACATTCACTGAACTAATACTGGGTATGAAGTGATAATTTGCAAGGTGTAGAGTTCTCCCGACCCACAGTCACTGCACCTTATGTTTCCGCAGACGTTTGCCAATACAGCATGCTCTGTGTTGTGTGTGTGCGTGTGCGGTATTTTTTCTAGCCAATTAGTGTTTACGCGTGTGGGTGTTTACGTCCCAGTGTGTCCTCACACTTAAATATCATCTGCTTAATCTGGGTAGAATTTTCACTTTATTTGAATTTCATGTTTTTGTATCCTACTACATATTCCTTTCCCATGTTACGAGTTTATTTTCCTACAAATTCTGTGTTGCTCAGGAGTCAGCTTGGATCCGTTCGCAGTAGTGCTCCCCAGCACTTGCATCTGGGGCAGTTGGCACTAAACCCTACGGATCGGCGTGGCAATCAGTCAAAAGGCTGGCTCGCGACGGATAGTTCTTACATATATCGAAGGAATGCACGCACAGTCCCTTCCGATGAGGATTGTATAGCGGTTTGAAGATCCCCATCTTATTCTATCAGTAGGCGCTTGGTGCAGAATGTTGAACCGCATGGTGCATTTGTGTGTCTGACCCGTGCGCAACACGCAGACACCCGGGTCGACGGTTGGATTCGCCACACCGCACCATCACGTGTTACTCAGGCATTCTTCTCTAGCTAGCGCGTGTTGTAGCGGGACATTATTATATCTTGTTAATATATAGTTATCCCATCAGTTCCGTACCTTCTTCTCATCTATCGGGAACGGCAGTCACCGGTAATCAACCGGACACAGTTTGCCTAAGTGGCCTAAATTGCAACTGAATAACTACCCACATTGCAGTAAGCTGAGAGATTCCTCGTCTACACGTGATTACAGACACACGGAGTCTAAAGTACACTTGCATTTCTCAAATTATGATCATAGATGAGAACGCTACGTAAAAAAATCCGACTGTCCTTTACATTTGGCCTCACGTGATTTTTAGGCGTGAGGATATCTTCTCATTTCAAATATGTTTTGTGCTTTATCTTGATAGTGAACTACCACCCGTACATCGAATAGGGCAGTAGAGGCAGATGAATGGTGTAAGTAGATATCCCGCACATCTGTGCCGAGTCAGACAGCCGTCATGCGCCCGGGCAATCTATGTGCGGTCGTTTCAGCCCAGTACTTGCCACGACATTGGCCCTACTCTGTTTAATGTTGCATGTACAAATGTCCTTTGTCTAACGGGGCGATGAATCACGGGAAATGAACATCTATTTTACACGGACTTTGAATGACACGAGAATTAACTATCACCTGATAAGTTTTTTCTTTTGAAATCTCTGAAACCAACATGTAAGCTGTAGTTAGTATCGCTAATGTTTTAACTCACTGGCGTTTTCAGCAAAAATGACCACCTTTGAATCCACCACACCAGTGAATTTATTCAATCTGGTAATGAAATCTAGAGATGATCAGAGAGATTATAATCTCCTCTAGCACAAATGTATCATGCATCACAGCTAAAAATGAGAAGGGAGGTAAAGATAAGGTGAAGTTGTAAACAGTGTCGCGTCCACCTCATGTTCGACACATTTTATACTATCTGATGTATGTGATTAGGGTCTGTAAGTGTACTAGTGCACATGTTGATCTTATTTAAGGGTTTGAAAGAAGATACCTACAGTCTACGATTTCTCTCTAGCAGCAAAGTATTGCGTTGGTGATAGCATATTTTATCACCTATTGTTACGAAATCGAAAACTCAAATTTTTTCCATCTGGAATTAGTATTTGAGAGCACCACATTCAAACTCTGTTGACTGAACGGACTGATCTAATGTGTTAAAACATTCATGAACGCAAACAGTTTGTTCAAGCTCATTTGTTAAGTTCACTTTGGCAACCAGCCTCGATTTTCTAACAAGATCCGCTCGTTTTCTTTCTTCACTTCTCTAGATCCAGCGACCCACTGGGTTACGCCATGGCAGCGTCAACCGCAGTCGAGGATATTGAGGAGATTTACGCTATTGTTGCTGGTTTCTTTGGGAATTATTCGCCCTTGATGACCGCGCTACAGAATTCGAGTGATGCCAAGAACCTTTACTCCACTGAAATATTAGACTACATTGGGAATCTTTCGAGAATTATTTGTGGTGTACCAGTCATGCAAAATGACATTGGAATGTTAGTTTCGCTACTGAAAAACAGGCCTCACTCTTCTGGAGAAGAGTCACAAGATGAAGGGATGAGCAAGCCAAACAGTACGTGTGCAACAATTAAACGCTTTTTACTCCAACCATACATCAGAGAGTACACAGAACGCCTGAGATTTTTCGCGTTTGGTACCGTCTATTATTATCCATCTACACCGGAAACGGAGGATATCATGCAGAGGTCCAACGTAACACACCGAATGCTGCAAGAGTTATCCAACCTTATGGAACATTACTTGCACAATACAAGCCAAGCATTGAAAAGTTTATTCTACAATGACACTATTATCCAACAATGGAGATCTAGACTTCACTTCTGTGAAAGTCAGTTGCTCTCGATTTCTGATAGGCTTACTCGATTTTGTCGTTCCGTCTTGTTGCTCCTTAACAACCGGACTAGTATCATCAGTTTATTGGATAAAACTGATAAGTGGGTATCCAATACACATCGGCTTCTGAGGTGCATGAATTTACAGTATCGTATTCTCCCCATCAGAAACCAGACCGAAATGCAAAATGTCATGGAGCTTGTTCGGACGTTGGCGTTTCCACCTTCTATACTTATACTATTTCGACGTATACCCAAAGGGACACATGTGCCAAATGGAACTGCTACGAATTACACAGTATACGAAGTTGTTCTACGCACTGGTCAATTTCGGATCGATAGTACGGACGCTTTCAAGGTATTAGATCGCAGATGGTCTCCAGCTCCTAGACAAAACCCCGCTTCTGGAGATGTGCGCTACCTGACAAGTGGTTTCATGGACATTCAAGAGGAGATTGGTAGAGCCATATTATCTGTTGTTGCTGGCGGAACAGACAAACCAGAAAATTCCGTCGCTCCAGCAGAATGGGATATAGGCCAAGAGTTTCGGTTTATTCCAATCCCTTGCTACGTTTCACGGGAGTTTGTGGGACGCGTTGCTAAGATACTTCCCCAATTTATGCATTTCTCCTGGATTCTGATGGTGATGATCACAACAAAATATATAATAGAAGAGAAAGAAACAGGCTTAAAAGAATTCACCAAAGTTGTCGGGCTATCCAACCTCACGCATTGGTGTGCCTGGTTTGTGACCTTGGTGGTGCCGGCATCCGTTGAAGCCATCATCATCACCGTGCTGCTAAAGTTTGGTAACATCATCCCGCTCAGCGATTGGTTCATGCTGACTCTGTTATTTCTATCCTACGTCTCCGCTGTGATAAGCTTCACTTTCATGTGTTCAACTCTGTTCCGTCGTGCCAATTTTGGGGCGATAGTAACTGGGATTTTATACTTCATACTCTACCTACCTTCTCTGTTGGTGTTGGGTAATGAAAATTCTCTTCATCCAGGCATATTAACTGTGGTGTGTCTATCCTTCCAAGTGCCTTTTAATCTCGCCTTATACTATTTCATTAGAATTGAAACACGAGGATTTGGAGCGATGTGGATCGATTTTTGGGAAACGCAATATGCCACGGACGTATTTTCCATTGGAAAATGCATCATGATGCTCTGGCTTGACTCTCTAATCCACTGGTTTCTAGCGTGGTATCTAGAAGCCGTCTTACCGAGCAACTTCGGTCATAGAAAACCGTTTTACTTCATTCTTACCAAAGAATTTTGGTGCAAAGTGCAACACCCATCCGCTGCTGACGAAGTCGGTGTTACGAGTGGCTTGATTGATAGCTGCCCAAAAGATATCGGACCACTGTGTGTAGAAGCACCAGCTAAAGACCAAACTGTAAGCGTTAGGCTAGAAAATGTGTGCAAGAAATATTCGAGAGATAAAGTCCCTGCTTTGAATTGCTTAACGCTGAACTTTTACTCAAACCAGCTAACCGCTCTACTTGGACACAACGGTGCAGGTAAATCCACATTGTTATCCATCCTGACTGGTATGCAGCGAGCTACAAGTGGGATCGTACAGGTAGCCAATTTTGACATCCATCGTCATCTGCGCCATGCCCGTGAGCATCTAGGATTTTGTCCGCAGTACAATATACTATACAATGATCTTACTGTGACTGAACACCTTCAGTTTTACGCGCGGCTAAAGGGGGTACCAATGATGGATGTTATCAAACAGATTGAAGATTTTGTTTTAATACTTGGCTTTCAGGATAAACGGAATTGTAGGGCAAAGCATTTGTCAGGGGGACAAAAGCGAAAACTTTCTGTCGCTATCGCCTTCATTGGTAAAACATCTGTCGTTTTGCTTGATGAGCCCACCTCCGGAGTAGACCCATTTTCAAGACGTGCAATTTGGGACCTATTGATTCGTTTCAAAAAGAACAGATGTATTGTTTTTACCACACATCATATGGATGAGGCAGAAATGTTGGGTGATCGAATCGCGTTGTTATCACGAGGTACGTTGAAGTGTTTTGCGTCTAGCTTGTTTTTGAGACTCAATCTTGGAAAAGGCTATCGACTAACATTGTGCCGTGCTTCGCAAGGAGAAGATCAACAAGAAAGACTCGTTGAATCTTTAGTGGCTGTAATTCAGCGCTTATTGCCCGGCAGCCGGTTGGCCGAAGTTGCCGGTCCAGAAGTTGTCTTTCAAGTTCCAACAATTTGCGGTTTAGACGGCAAACTCGGAGAATTTTTAACGCTGCTTGATGCGGAAGATTCACCAACAGTATTGTATAACCAAATTTCGGAATTTAGGATTTCTTCCTACACCCTGACGGATAGCACCTTGGAGGATATTTTCCTTGAACTGGTTAGTGACGGTGGAGGCGAAGCAATAGCAAATAAAGATGCGCTTTTTTCTGAGTTGGAAAATCCATTTAGACTGGAAATTATAAGTGCTCCGCTTGACGACACAGGCGACACTATTTCGTCATTCCCTGAGAATAAAGGTGGTGATCAAGATATATCAGCCAACTCGGTGTCTATTTTTGAAGTAGCATTGGATTCACCCAGCTGTTTCGTTAACTCCAGCAGAATGCTACTGCTTGGGCAACTCCATGCCATGTTTGCTAAAAGGTTTAATCATGTTAAGCGCTTCAAACGTGGGTGGTTGATCGAATTTCTCCTTCCCGCTTTTTTATTAATTATGGCCATCCTGTTCATGCAGTCAGTCACAACACCGCTGGACAATCCACCACTTCCACTACATCCGTGGTGGATGATTTATCGGAGGCCCAAAACTGAACTAATTACGTTCTATGAGAACAACATGTACTTGTCAGGAGACCCCGTTCTGTCCAACACAGCCGACAAACTGGCACGTCGCATTGCGTCGGCCTACGAGAGAGCCATGAATGATCCGAACGGCTGGACTGGTACACGGTGCATGCCCAGGCACGCATACCATTTTGAACCATCTAACCTTCAAACTTGCAACACTACCGGGGAAATGAACATATGGAGACCGTACCGAGAGTTAAAATCGTTTCAGATGCAGACTGTACGAAATTCCTCCACTTTATGTTCCTGCACATGTGGGTCTGGACAACTGAAATGCCCTCCCTCGGCGACGCAGTCGATTAGGCCTCCGATGTTACGCCTCCAAACTGGAGATACTTTGTTGAATCTTTCATCTTACAATATGACCGAATACATGGTAGCAACCGGAGCTGATTTCATCCTGAGGCGTTTTGGTGGTCTCAGTTTCATACAAAACTCTGCAGATGTGGCCTCGAGAACGAAGTGGAAAGAACTGATGAGACAAACCAATCCGCTCCTCGAATGGCTAGGTCAAATGACTGCTTCAAAGGACACTAGCACAATCGACCCTTTTTGGAAGCATCTGGCAAATGTGGTCGGTTCTATGTTGCCAGCTCCATATCACCTACAAATATGGTTCAATAACAGGGGATACACTTCTGCTCCGGGCTATTTGAATCTTTTGCAGAACATGCAACTGAGAATGCTGCTGAGCGAAAACGCTAGTCACCCATTCAACCCGTCACATGGAATTGTCTTCGTCAACCATCCCACAAAATTACCTCCCAGAACTAGCAGAGCGTTGATGACAGACCGTGTCTCGTTGTTTGAGCTTACATTGGTTGCATTCACCCTATTGGCACTTTCTTTTATTCCATCGAGTTTAGTAACCTTCTTGGTGTTGGAAACACACACCGATGCTAAGCACTTGCAATTTGTCTCTGGTTTGAATGTATACCTATACTGGTTCAGTGCCTTTCTATGGGACATACTGAGTTACACCTTGTCTGCCTCACTGTGTGTTCTGGTGTTTGTGGCATTCCAAAGGCACTCCTTCATTGGCTCTGACACTATTGTTGCATTTCTGCTGTTGACGTTTCTGTACGGTGTAGCTGTTCTACCAATGATGTATCCATTCTCTTTTGTGCTAAGAAATCCCAGTACTGCCCTTGTTGTGGTGACCACGTTTAATCTGTTACTGGGTTCGGTGACGCTGATGACCACTTACCTACTGGAAGTGCTGGCTGGCCAGTATCCAAAACTGAAATTGCTGAATACTGCTTTGCAAGACTTGTTCCACCTCCTACCACAGTACTGCCTTAGTAGTGGTCTCTACGAGCTCAGCGTACGTTCTGTTCAATTGGAGTATGTAGCAATGGGACTCATTCCGCCTTTTCACAGTGATCCGTTTGCTATGCGGATACTCGGATCAAAACTCATTGCGTTGGTAGTGCAATCAGTTGGATTTTTCCTAGTTGTTTTGACCATTGAAACCAATTGCTTTGGCGCAAGTTGTGTAAAGAAGTTAGTGGGAAAAATGAAGGAAAAGAGTAGAAACATTTTCGCAGCAGAGTTGTCCAGACGAGGAACAATTGATGATGTTGAGAAGGAAGTCATGGAAGAGAAGCGACGAGTTTGTGAGGTGAGTATGAATTGCAAACATCGCACAAATTAAACTCACAATATTCATGAGCAGGGATTTTTCCATATAACTAATTGAGAGTTCGTCGCAGCAGGTGGTGTGAGCTTATTGCGAACCAGAGTGGCATAAACTTGGAACTAGTGTGCACGTGTCTGTCACAGTGGTGAGTGCGTTGGTGTCTTAACTGTGTTTAACTAGATTGTGGCTCATATATTGTTTGGATGAAATGTGGCCATCAATTCTAGCATATAATCCACTGGTCTTTGTGGTATATTAGTGGAAGGTCTACCGTGCATACATTTGCCTCCTTCGAACAAGGACAGCGCTTATTATCGAACTGGCATTGGTTGATCTGGTAATGTACGACTGAGCCGGCTAGGTGTCACTCTGGAAACGATTAAAGTTCTGGGCTAAGGTTTATTAGGCTTTATTCAGAAAACCAAGTTTGATGGTTTCTGTGGGAATTACAATGTGGTGAAAGCGAGAAATGTAGGCCGTGACCCACCTAAATTGTTTCATCTAGGTTTTCTGCTTTTGATTCTTCCATTGTAATTGCAGACGCTTATACTTCTGTAATAAGCTCATCGCCTTCTGAAAATCGCATTTCATTAACAAACTCATTAATCCTTCCAGCACATTTTGCTTTCCAGCTTTATCAATCCGGTAGATTGTCCGCAGCCTCCACAGTTGGCGCTATCAACTTGACAAAAATTTTCCGACGTCACAAAGTGCCTGCGGTAAATCATCTGACGTTCGCAGTCCATACATCCGAGTGTTTTGGTCTCTTGGGGCTAAATGGGGCGGGAAAAACAACAACGTTTCGCATGCTCACAGGTTTAACGCGCCCCACTTGGGGCTCAGTGTTTATCAATGGAAAAGATGCTGCAGATCGACAATTCAACAACTTCGGGTTTTGTCCCCAATTTGACGCGCTACTTGAATCACTAACAGGTCGGGAAACGTTGTTATTGTACGCCCGGTTGCACGGAATAACTGGGTCAATTATTGCATCGTATGTTGATCAAATACTGAAGGATATGGGGCTGGGTCTCCATGCTGACAAAATTATCAAATCTTATTCTGGTGGAAATCGCCGTAAGTTATCCACGGCGATAGCAATTCTTGGCAACCCGAAAGTTGTGTTTCTGGATGAGCCTACAAGTGGTGTCGACCCCATCTCCAAAAGACTCCTCTGGAAACAGATTCGCAGGCTGTTGGATGCCGGTACTTCTGTCGTTCTCACCACACACAGCATGGAAGAATGTGAAGCACTGTGTAATAGGCTAGGAATCATGGTTGCAGGTGAGTTTGAAGCACTTGGCTCGGTTAACGAGATGAAAGAACGTTTCGGTGGTGGCTACACTGTGGATATGCGAATCACACCAGGTACTTCGGTGACTGAGCAAATTAAGGATTATTTAGATCGGAACTTTGAGCCTATCGGCCAAGAAAAGGCGCATGAAGGTTTCCATTCCATACAGTTTTCACGCAATACGAAACTGTCTAGTATCTTCCGGATGCTGAATGTACTTCGCTCCAAGGGTCTGGTCAGTGACTACTCTGTGAAACAGTCGACCCTGGATCAGGTATTCGTCAACTTTGTTCGGATGCACATGGAACGGAAGCTTAAAACAGATGAAGATGATATCTTTGACGGTGTAATCCAACAATAAGTTTGGAACACATGTACAGTGTCCAGCCAATTGCACATTCCATTTTTTGTGTAATATATATGTATATATATATATATATGTTTATATATACTGTCGCAGTGGACTTTCTCTGGGAAATCAATTGCAGAATGACGTAAAGAAGAAAAACATCGTGTAATTAGCTGGATCTCTTCTTTGCATGTTGAAATTGTTTCATTGCCCTTTTACATTGCGTCGATTCACATTAGTTTGCATCCCTCAGTCGCCTTAGTATAGCCAAAGAACACCTGGCTTTACCATCAGATGCGTGACCTGATAGCAAGTATTCGTCTGATGCCACACACGTGATGCTGACTACGATTGTCTGTGAGCATTCACACTATTTGTGCATACCACTGGTGCATACCTAACTATAGACGGTGATCTTGGGAACACGCACTACAGTCTCGTGTGCAATTGGTTAACTTGGTCACCTGGTGTGTTGACGTGAATGTAAAGCCATGCTTTATAGTTTTGTCACCTAGATTGGAATTCGACTTATTGGCCCACGAATGCTCTTAACTCTTGAGTCAGTGATTAGCTTTTTAATGTAACCGTTCAAGGAATTCACGTAAGCCCCGCATATTTTTTAGTTAGAATAAACCTAAACTTAAACTAGCTCCGCTGAAAGTTGAATGAATTATGGTCGCACTCGCGAGTAAATTTGTTACAAGAGCTCAGCGAACCTCTGTGGTGCTTCTTGGTAAACTCTGTGACGGCAGTTACTGTTTCTCTTAGAGTTTATATTTAGTTAAAGGAATAGCCAGGTCAGGCCAACCAACAATAAGTGGAACATGTAGACCTCAGCATCAAATATCCGTCGAAATGTGCTTATTGGTCACAATTTGCGTCCGCATTTTGAGATCAAACAGAAATCCTAAAGGAAACATGCCGATATTTATCAGCAAAACTACAACACCAGTTATGATTGTTTTAGTCGAACAATCGAATTTCTTATAACGGATGCTTGCGTCTGCCAAAGATTTCTACAAATTCAAACTTATTTGCACAGAAAGAAAATCAGTGACAATAGGGGTAAGTGTCACTTCTTAATCGAAACAACATGGTGGCATCTGTCAGTTAACCGCTTTCACGAGCACCTGCACCCCAACTTAACTGCTTTCAACACGAGGCTATTATGGTTTTTACTAGTGCGGCCTCGTTACGTTGAACATACTATTCTGTTGGCAAAGAATCAAGTCCTGACGCAGAAGTTCTTAATGAAATGCGTAAGGTAAGTAACTGTAAACGTCACAAGCATTGTAAGCTATACCTTTGTTTTTATTATTTGTTACACATCATAGCAATATCACGAGGCTAAACGCGCTCAAGACATTGCGTAAACCAGAAAGTGTGATGATGGCAGTCTTAGGAATATGGTATTTCTCAACGGGAATCGGATGATTGGCTCTCGTTAAAGCGATTTTAACAAACGGTTAGTAAGGTCTCGAATATGCGGAATAGGATACACTTACAGCCAATCTCTTGTCTCCGGCGATTTCAAGGTGCACGAGCTGGTCGCCTCAGCATACTTCAGCGAAACATAACGAGGCAGAACTGCAAGACCTTATCACAAGTATTCCACTTCAGAATCCCATCATCTCAGCTAGCAGGCACAGAGCTGCTAACAAATCATCACTACTAGACCTCGTACTTAGAATAACAAACCCATGGTCTACAGGCCATACATAGATATCCCACCAAAGTTACGTGATCATGCCACTATACGTACTAACTAGGCATTATTCCGAATACCCGGAGAAACGCACAGCACCAACACGTACTATCACAAGTTACAACATGCTGACCGATCTGGTTGCAATGACCGATTGGGTATTTTTGAAATGCTTCTAACCTAATCGAGTCTGGATCCAGCTTGCTGGACGCTTCGGCTTCAGAAACTAAGAAGGATAGTTCCACAACCAATCTTCCTTCATCTGAAGTTGCACACGAAAACGCATATCACGTAAGAATGCAGCTAGGCACATTTACAGTACCCGTCCTGTTCCTGAAATCTCGAGAGAATACATGGCTCAGTACAACCATTATAATACACTTGTCCGTGAATATTGAATACTAAAAGATAGAGAGTGAGTAGAAAAATATCTGTGTTGCAACATCGTAGGTGACCCGAACACATGCGCGAAGTCAAGTCGCTGATTCCTGTGCGGTGGTAGCATATTGCAGCTGAACTACATTTTATCCGGGTGCGATACGCTCCTTATACCTGTGGGCCACAAAATGGGCGTCAAGTAATCTCTTAAATTCCGATACCGATTTCGTCTCGACGAGCGTCTCTGACAATTCGTTCCAATATTTCAACATTGGACGCTCGAAGCACAGAGGGTGAGCGATGCGCCTTAAATCCGGTACCACTAGTTTGTATCGGTGTTCGCGTGATTGCTCGGTGCGCGGCGGCCTCAATATAGGGAAGTGGCGAAGGCGCAATATTCGTTGAGTCATAATGAGATAAACTGGAAGCCGACGATATGACAGGGTAAAAAGCCCTAGTCTGCTATATCGGTCCTCGTACGACCTACCCTGTAAACTGGGGATGAGCCGAGTAGCTACATGCTGGACCAGTTTCAATCTCGGCATCTCACCTATTGTGATCGGACAATAAGCGGGTGAGCCGTAGCCAAGCACCGGTCTTATCATGGAAGAGAACAGACGGGTGGCAATCTCTTTAGACCAAGTGCAGACGTTGCGTCTAGGCGCTGGAAGCAGACGTAGTCCGTTTGCATATAGTCTGTTCGTGTTGTACACAGACAATGGAACAATGGAACAATGGATTTATGCGGGTATAAAAGCTAAAGCTTGACAAATCCCGTAGGGTGATCAGTGCGAAAACCATAGAAGTGTGAAAAATTCAATGGAAACCAATTCAGTAAAATCGTTTAACAGCGAGTCACTACAAGCTTGTGGACTCACCGAGTTTGAAGCGTCAAAATAATAGTCCACTATAACTCCGGAGGGGATCATGAGGTATGGAGTATTTGGTTAAAAGAGTCACCGCCCCTTGAAATTCGCATGGGGCAAAGTGTTTGAGTTTGAAGCGTCAAAATATAAATCCACTGTTGAAATAAGCGTGAGGGAAAATTATTTTTAAAGTATGGATTTTGGACCTCTCAAAATTAGACTGTACTATGGGAGATAGTGCAATGAAGTGAGTGCACTATCAACTCGATTTTTGAACTCGATCAGGTTTGGTGCACTGACTACAGATTCTGGGAGACCATTCCAGGCTTGGCAGACACGCACGGAAAAGAAATTCCGTCGACATTCAAACGGCTGTACTGCACTGCCAGCTTCAGATGATGGCCTTCGGTTGTTGTTGTTGTTGTTACTGAGCTCCAGCAATGGCGGCAGGTATGATTGGGGTCTGTCAGAATCTGATAAGCCAAGATCAAATCTCCCCGTAGTCTTCGATATTGACCAGATCCGAGCGTGAGAGCAGACCTAGTTACTTTACGGAACTGTTGGGGTGCAGCGGGCGGTTGGACAGGGTGTACGCACGCCCATTACCATCCTTCCCTAGATTGACATATGACGACTTGGCCAGGTTTACCGATAGGTCATCTTCTGCAGACCACCGGGATAAGTGGTCGAGGTCCTGCTGAAGGACGTCACAATCGCCGGGAAAGGAATAAATCTCCAAACCTTCAGGTCGCTTGCAAACAATGCGCAGGGCGACCGAAGGATCTGAGGTACTTCCTTTATGTGGAGCAGGAAGAGAATGGGCCACTGTAATCTCCCTTGGGGTACGCCGCTAGTGAACGGGTACCATTCCAGCAGACGGTCATTCACCTGTACACGCCATCTTCTCCCAATTCGGAAGTCACTGATCCACTGGTGCAGTACGCCACCAACACCACACATCATCATGGTTCACTTTATCGAAGGCTTTGCTGTAATCAATGTAGACAGCATCCACTGACTCCCCTCGGTTCAAAGCTTGCAAGCATTCCTGCCGCGTAAACAGCAGCTTGGTGATGCAGGAGCGGCCCGTCATGAAGCTTTGCTGTGCCAGTGTTATGAGATCCTTCGACTCCAGCAGCTGGAGAAGACCATTTTTCATAATCCTCTAAAGCACCTTCGACAAAACAGAGGTGACACCAATAAGCAGGTAAGTGTCCACATTGCGCGAGTCACCGGTTTTTATAATCGGCTTCACTACCAACCATTTCCAGTCGTTCGACAATGCACCGACAGACAGCGATCTGTTGAACAGATTCGTCACAACGGGAGAGCAAATGGCTGATAAGGACTTTAAAATAAGGGTGAAGTCCATCGGGTCCGATAGGTTTCGTGTCGTCAAGACTGGTGAGAAGACTGAAGACATCTTCTACACCGCAGTCCAGACCACCGAGTTCAGTAGGGGCAGAACACATCGAGCTCGACATAGGCACATGCCAGCTAGTAAATACAGTACCGAAGTACTCCACCAACGCGGACGCACGTTCAGTGCAGGAGGTCAGAGGCTGCTCCTCAGTGTCCTCTAACACTTGCGGGCATCGGACGCCGCTCCAATTTGCAAAAATATTCTTGGGAGCCGTCTTCTCTGAGGTTGCTATCGCATCTTCGAAGTTCCGACGCACCCGCGTTTTTGCGCTTTTGAATAGATTCAGCTGCGTTTTGTACACATCATAATCCTCAGCAGAGACAGACGAGAGGAATTTATTCCCCAATACGCGACATAGTCAAGCTAATTGACCATACTCTCTGTCGAATCAATGCGGATTCTTAGGTCTAGCTTTCCGAAACTTGATGAGTACAAAAGGAGCACAAAACGATTGTTCACGCCCTTTTTTAACAGACCAGCAGGCTGCAAGAGATTAATCTTGTGGCAGCGACAAGTCCACTTCACTGACGATTCGATTGAGAACATGGAATTCTATCATCCAATAAGTGTAGGACGGCTCTGGCGAACGCGAGTAGGACAGCGGCAGCTCTAGGCTGGCTAACACCATCGAGTGTTCACTAGCTGACAGTGGCTCCAGGACCTGAACTTCATATACACATTGCCCACAACTCCTTAGTAGTAGGTCCAGGCACGATGCAGCGTAATGCGTTGTAACGCG